TTCCTGCTGCAGAGAACCATATTCCTTCAACAAGCACACGCTCCATGACTTGGTAGGTGGCTGTGCCCGCCCCACCATGGGCTGGGCGCTAGGATGCTCAAGGCCCAGAGCCTTCCCAGTGGTGTAGCGGGGCTAGGCAGAGAGCCGCGGTTGGAATCCAACAAAGCCGGTCTGGAACCCTGGTTCTATTAGGAGTGAGGCCCTCAGAGCCTCAGTTTCCTCATCTCAAAAACAGGAAGATGATGCCTTGCTTGGTGGGTATAAGGCTCCAACAAGAAAGCACCTTGAAAATATCGATAAAATTTGCACTCCCTGAGGGCGCAGCAGGTGGGGATAACAGAAAGTGACACGCACAGTGACCTGTAGGCAGGATGGGCTTCTTGTGGGTATGATCTGCAGTCACACACGGCCCTCTGCTTGGAGGGCCCCCACTTGATTTAATCTCTGCTGTTGCTGTCTTAAAAGCTTAAGAATTTTTCAATGAGGGGCCCCGCATTTCCATTTTGCACTGGGATCCCACAAATTATGTAGCTGTTTCTGCCTGTAAGTGAACATTAAGTTCCTGTGGATAAAATTTATGGGGACTAATCCTCTTGTTCCCATTTGGATAATGTTGTGAAAAGGACTAAAGCTCACAAAACAGCCTAAAAGGACATCAGTGTGGCCCAACAGTACACAACCAACTCATGTAGTACTCAACCTCCCCCTCTCCCTCCGTCCCTCTCTCTCTTCCTCTCACACTCATCATGAAGTGAGAAACAGCAACTTACAGGTGCAGGGGAGTATAGAACGTCTAACAAAAACAAGGCACCTGCCTCACCTGGGACACAGAGGTAGCAAGGCTGGGGCCCCTCTGTTCCGACCTGGCTAGAGATGTGCTAGTGGCTCCGTGCCCCACACTTCTCTGTCCTGAACAGACCGCCCCTCATCCTTTCAGGGAGCCAGGAGCTCCTGGCTCCCTGAATGCAAATTGTGTGTTCCAGTTTGCAGTGCAAATCTCATTCTTATTAAAAGGACAGTCTGAATTCATGACAAATAAATCTCTGAAAGAAATACAATTGTATTACTTAAAAACCCATGGCACTAGAAGCCAGTATTTACCGAGCACTAAGCAGAGACCCAGTCTATAGGGTAGGTAATGTGTTCATATTAAGGCGGTCACCTTAAAATAGCTCTCAACCAGGACAAACACATGGCCTTGACCAAAGATGAACGCTAACATTTGCTGGGTGTGACCTCTAGACCAAGTACTGTTCTACTGTAGATGTATTTTCTCAATTTATCCTCATAGTATGTTTATCCCCATTTTTACAGACAAGAGGGCTGAGGCCCAGAGAGGCTAAGCCACTTACTCAAGCTCACACAGAACATGGCAGAGCTGGAATTAGCACCTAGGCCATCTGCCATCAGAGACAACACTCACTCACCACTCTGGACCACAGCACGGCTTTTAGTAAACATTTGCCCCTCACCTTGCTTTTCTGTAAAATGATAGGTGGGACTAGGTAACCCCTAAGGTCCCGCTTCTCCCCACAATGGAGAGGTAGAAAAGTGCACCAGTTAAGAGTCCAGACTTATGTATAAAGTGGTTCTGCCAGGCTCTCTCTTGAGGGGGATCATGATGAGGGATTGTGGGTGAAAAATTTAGAAGAGAGACAGGCACACGAGTGCTGCACTAGCAAGGGCTGTCATCATTACACAGCCTTAGGCACAGCCAGGGTGGACTCTAGCGGTTCTCTAATTCCAGCTCTCTAGGCTCCTGAGGTCTCCTGGAAACATGAGAATGTCTTTGACCCCCAAAAAGCCCCTCTCTGGGGACACCCTCTCTGACAGCACCCGCAATTAAGAAGGTGGTCATGGAGCACAGGCGACAAAGATCCCTGTGCCCCCTGTATCTCACTGGCTGCTGGCCACTAGAGCTGCCCTGGCTCAACCATCTCAGTCAAACCTCCAGTAACTGTCAGCCAAGACAGTGACAACTGTGAAAGGAACATTTTCCACAGGGCCGATTTCAAGTTCACTGGAAACTCCACTGCACTGGTAGCCAGGGGACAATGGGTAAATTTCTTCCCACTGTGATCCAAGTTCCTCCCCACTAAAACTCTGGTCTATGCTGGCTCAAATGCCAGCTCCACCATTTGGTAGCTGGGCCACCCTTGGAAAATTACTTAACTCTATGCATCAGTCCCCTTACTTACAAAACACCAGCAACACAGCCTAGCCAGGCCTCCTGCGTTCAAATCCCAGCTCCACCACGTATAAGCCTTGTGACTTAAAGCAAGTCAACGCATGGACCTGGCCTCAGTTTCCTCATCTATGATGGGGGTAATAATAATAGCACCTCCCTCAGAGGCAAGCTTAACTGAGTTAATGTTTGCAAAGCACTTGAATATATATATTTACTCTCCTCATTATTACTTTTAGGCACTGTCATGATTATATGAGATAACTGTAGCTCCCAATGGACACCCAGAAAATGTGAGTGCCATCGATATATTTATTATTACTATTATTCTAGCCCGCACAGCCCTTTCAGCCTTGAGAAATAAGGAGAGAAAATTCTTTTGCAAATTAGAAGTGGGAGCAGAAACCCCAAATGAAAGCTAGCAATGCGGTTAGGGGCTGCCCCTAAAGCACAGTGGTTTGGAAAAGGGTAAAGGGCCCGCAGCTCCAGGCAGCCGCGGATCCCCTATCTCCCCAGGCCTGGTCATCATGAAACGCCAGCGAACAAGTCCTCAGACCCCAACTGCCAGCGGCGCAGATCCGGCCCCTTCGGACCGGGTCCTCCGAGGAACTCTCCGAAGAGAGTTAAAGGGAAGTTGCTGCCCACACTAACCTGCCAACAGCTGTCGGTGCTGCCTGTTGGGAAGAAAACAGAAAACAAGCCAAAACTAGGGCTCGCGCGGTTCTGCTCGCATCTTCCACTTGGAGGCCTGGCCCCTGGAAGGGAACCGGGCTGCGGAGGGTCTCCGCGGAGCGCTGGGGTCCCGGCCGGGCGGGGAGCGAGGAAGGGGCGCAGCATCCCCGACCCTTGGGAGGCGTCGCTGTGCTCCGCCGCCTGGCCAACCAGACCCGGGCCCACGGACGCCGACGGGGACCGGGAGGGGACAGCCCAGAGGCGGCAGGGCCTCCCGGCCAGGCCCAAGCCCCGAGCCCCGGGCTCCCCGGCGCCGGCCGCCCTCGCCCCACCCGAGGGG